CCAGGGGTGGTTGAACACCTCCAGGAATGGTTGAACACCTCCAGGGGTGGTTGAACACCTCCAGGGGTGGCTGAACACCTCCAAGGGTGGTTGAACACCTCCAGGGGTGGTGCCTCCACCCCCAGGTGAGCCCCGTTTGTGATTTTTTGGAGGTTTCCCCCATCCCCCTGCTGCCACCAGAGGAAAATCTGGTGCCCAGGGCTTTGTGCCCAGCACAGGGACAAGGACAGGGTGGCACTGACCTGGTGTAGCCCGGGGGGTGCTGGCGCCTGAAGCTTTTTTTTGGGGAAGGACTCCTGCTTCTGCCTTTCTCCTCCCGGCTGCTGTGCCTGCAAAGCCCAAAATACCCACATTTTTTAGCACCAAAATCCACATTTTTAAACATTTCTAAACATTTTTAAACATTCCCTGAGGGTTTGAATAGGTTCTGAGAGTGAGGGAGCTCCCACAGCTGCAGGGCTGGTACCTGGCCATTCTAGGAACAATCCTAACGTGAATAAAATCTGAGTTTATTTTTGAATTGTTTCATCAGCAAACAACAAATTGCCTGCTTTTAGCATTTTAGCTGTATGAAATAAAGGCAATTTAACAGATTGAATGATCAGTTTGAAGAGATCTACATTTCTATCACTTGTTGCTCTTCTTCACCTTCTTCTTCCTTCTCCTCCAGGGGTTTGGGTGGTGTGTTGGAACTGGACAGGAAAGCCCACAGTGCAGGTTTTGAGTGGTCAGTTATTGGGTTAAAAGTGAAAATAATTGATTTCTTAATTGGGTAATTTAGCCTTAAAATACCTTGGAACAAGAGCCAGTTGGGCATTTTGTGCCTTGCTAGTGAGAGACTGCAGAACTGATAAGGAACAACAAACACCCGAGTTTGAACACAAAATTCCTGGTTTAGGTTGGGAATTACAGCTCAAAATATTGAAAATGTTTAACATGCTGATAAAAAGCAACAAAAACCCGAGTTTTAATGCAAAATTCCTGGTTTAGGTTGGGAATTACAGCTTAAAATATTGGAAATGTTTAACAAAATGAAAAGGAACAATAAACACCTGAGTTTGAACACAAAATTCCTGCCTTAGGTTGGGAATTACAGCTCAAAATATTGAAAATGTCTAACACGCTAATAAAAAGCAACAAAAACCCGGAGTTTTAACACAAAATTCCTGCCTTAGGTTGGGAATTCCAGCTCAAAATATTGGAAATGTTTAACAAACTGAAAAGGAACAATAAACACCTGAGTCTGAACACAAAATTCCTGCCTTGGGTTGGGAATTACAGCTCAAAATATTGAAAGTGTCTAACACGCTGATAAAAAGCAACAAAAACCCCGAGTTTTAACACAAAATTCCTGCCTTGGGTTGGGAATTCCAGCTCAAAATATTGGAAATGTTTAACAAACTGAAAAGGAACAATAAACACCTGAGTCTGAACACAAAATTCCTGCCTTAGGTTGGGAATTACAGCTCAAAATATTGGAAAGTTGTTCATGGTGGAGTTTAAATCCCCTGTTACTCACAGCTGGAGCTGATTCCTGCCTTGGCTTGGGAATATTTCAAAATATTGGAAATGTTTAACAAAATGATAAATAACAACAAACACCCGAGGCTGAACACAAACCATCCTCTCAATCCTCACCCTGAGAGAAGCAGGAAAATCAAGCAGAGATTTTTTTTTTACTCCACACATATTTGTGAAACTTTATCAAACGTTCATCTTTCCCCTAAAGGAGCAAGGATTTGTGTTTGGAGCAGGGTCATCTTTTCCGAAAGGAATATTTGGGAATTTCCATCTCCCAGCTCCCTACTCCAAGTTATTCATGGTGGTGTTTAAATCCCCTGTTACTCACAGCTGGAGCTGGGTTAATATTCCTGCTTTAGGTTGGGAATTACAGCTCAAAATATTGGAAAAGTTTAACAAACTGAGTCTGAACACAAACCATCCTCTCAATCCTCACCCTGAGAGAAGCAGGAAAATCAAGCAGAGATTTTTTTACACCACACACATTTGTGAAATTTTCTTGTCAAACGTTCATCTTTCCCCTAAAGGAGCAGGGATTTGCATTTGGAGCAGGGTCACCTTTTCCCAAAGGAATATTTGGGAATTTCCATCTCCCTGCACCCTGCTCCGAGTTATTCATGGTGGTGTTTAAATCCCTTGTTACTCACAGCTGGAGCTGGGTTAAAATTCCTGCTTTAGGTTGGGAATTACAGCTCAAAATATTGGAAAAGTTTAACAAACTGAGTCTGAACACAAACCATCCTCTCAATCCTCACCCTGAGAGAAGCAGGAAAATCAAGCAGAGATTTTTTTACACCACACACATTTGTGAAATTTTCTTGTCAAACGTTCATCTTTCCCCTGAAAGGAGCAGGGATTTGTGTTTGGAGCAGGGTCACCTTTTCCCAAAGGAATATTTGGGAATTTCCATCTCCCTGCACCCTGCTCCAAGTTATTCATGGTGGTGTTTAAATCCCCTGTTACTCACAACTGGAGCTGATTCTGCCTTGGCTTGGGAATTCCAGCTCCAAATATTGGAAAAGTTTACCAAACCAATAAATAACAACAAACCCCAGCCCAGAGAGGGGCAGGAATTCCCACTCACACTCGGCTGGGCCTGGAGGGGGACGCGGAGCTCCTCTGGGGGTTCCTCCTGCTGGAACGTTCCTGGGGGGACCTGGAGGGGCTCCGGGGGCGCCTCACCTGCGACTCAGAGCGGACAGAAAGGGGGAAATTCAAATTATTCCAGGTTTCGGCTTGGAATTTGGGGTGAGGAATTCGGGATATGGTTGTTCAGGTGCTCCTCGTTACCCATGGAATGAATACCTGGAATGATGGAATGGTTCCATTCATTCCATGTGAGTGGAACATGGTTTCATAAATTTTAGGTCCAATTTGAAGCCATCTAACCTTGAAATTCAAATTATCCCGGGTTTCGGCTCGGAATTTGGGGTGAGGAATTCGGGATATGGTTGTTCAGGTGCTCCTCGTTACGCATGGAATGAATCCATAGAATGAATCCATGGAATGATGGAATGGTTCCATTCATTCCATGTGAGTGGAACATGGTTTAATTAATTTTAGGTCCAATTTGAAGCCATCTAACCTTGAAATTCAAATTATTCCAAGCTCAGATGGAGTTTTGTTGGGAATTTGGGATGTGGTTGTTCAGATGCTCCATGTTATCCATGGAATCAATCCATGGAATGGTTCCATTCATTCCATGTGAGTGGAACATGATTTAAGAAATTTTGGATTCAATTTGGAGCCATTTAAGCCTTGAAATTCAAATTATTCCATATTTTTGCTTGGAATTTGGGATGTGGCTCCAATCTGAACCAAATTTGGCTCCAAATTGAACCAAAATTTATTAAACCATGTCCCACTCACATGGAATGAATGGAACCATTCCATGATTCCATGGATTTATTCATTCCATGGATAATGAGGAACAAACCTCGCCCTGAATTCCAAGCAAAAATCCCAAATAATTTGAATTTCAAGGCTTAAATGGCTCCAAATTAAATCTAAAATTTATTAATTCCTCTTCCAGCTGCTGCAGCAATTCCCAAAATTCCCAATTTTCCCCCTCCCCGGGTTGTACCTGCAAACCATATCCCGGGATTTTGGAAGGAGCAGCTTTGCAGGAGGAATTCTCCAGCTTTTTCTGAGACCTAAAAAAAGAAAATAAAATCCTTTTGAAGCCAACAAATTGCAAAAATAAATCAATTTTTAGCAGACCTTAACCCACTAAATAATCATTTAATTGAGTAATTCATTAGGAGTATTAATTAGGTAAAAAGGTGAGAGAGAACGGGTGGAAAAGGAGGAGAAATGGAGGAAAAAATTAAATAAAAAATGAAATAAAATGAAATAAAATTCACTTATTTCTGGTTTTTTCCTCCTCCTCGGAGCTGGAGGTGCTGGAGCTGCGCCGTCGGTGCTTTTTGTGCTTCCTCTTCTTTTCCTTCTTCTTCTTCCTCTCCTTTTTCTCCAAACTGCTCTGAAGCTGCAGGGAAAAAAAAATAGAAAAAATTAATATATTTCAAAATATTTTATTTTAATTGTTGGATTTTTGTTGTTAAAGGTGGAAGAAAAAGGCTTTGCAGTGCCTGCGTTATTAATTTTAATAAATTTGTAAGTTATTTATGTTATATATTTTTAATATATTTATATAAATACCTTTAAAAATAAATACTTTTTTATATTATGTTTTACAGTTTTATATTATAATGGAATTGTATATTATAATTTTATATTCTATTTTATGTTATATATAAAAAATTTATATGCGATATAAATTTTCATAAATATCTTTATAAAAATAAATACATTTTAATTTTATATTATAATTTTACATTATAAAATTAAAATATAACATAAAATTATGTTATATACAGAAAATTTATATACTATATAAAATTTTATAAATACCTGTATAAAAATAAATAAATTTTTATTTCATATTATATTTTATATTATAATAAAAATGTATATTATATTTTACATTATATATAAAAATATATTATATAAATGTTTATAAATACTTTGATAAAAATAAATAAATTTTATATTATATGTTATATTAAAACATAATTTCAGATTACATTATAATTTTATATTATGCTATCATTTTATATCCTATTTTATGTTATATATCAAATTTAGATATTATATAAGTTTTTATAAATACCTTTATAAAAATAAATAATTTCTGTATTACAACATAATTTTATATTATAACTTTATGTAATATTTTATGTTTTTATATATAAGATTTATATATTGTATTAATTTTTAAAAATACCTATATAAAAATACATCATTTTAAATATTATATTTTATATTGTATTATAATTTTTATACTTTCTGTTATACATATAAAATTCTATATATTATATCAATTTTTATAAATACCCTAATAAAAATAAATAAAATTTTATATTATATTGAATGTTATATTTCATATTGTATTATAATTTTATATTATGATTTTGTATGACATTTTATGTCATATATATAAAAAATTCATATATTATATAGAATTATTTATAAAAAATTACAATAAAAATTCTGATTTTTCTGCTCAAAACCTGAGGCAAAAATATCTTTACACTGTTTACAAGAAATATAAAAATATGAATAAATTTCTAAAGATTATAGATATTTTTAATTTAAATGTATTTGTAGATTTTTTTGTATTTAAAGGTGTAAAATAATGTCTTTAAAGAGAAATATCTTTATAAAAATTTAGATATTTATAAAAATCTATAGACATTTATAAATTTCAAGGCAGAAAATTTTATTTAAGTCTGAAAATTGAGTTTCTTATTCTGATTTTTGCTCCTCCCCTGCCTCACACCTACCAAGGCTTTGATTTTCTTCATTTTCACTGGATTGTTCAAAACTTCTCTTTTCTTTTCCTCCTCCCTCTTCCTAAAGCAGGAAAAAAAATTAAAAATAAGAAATAAAAAAAAATAAAATAAAAAAATAAATAAATAAAAAAATAAAAAATAAAATCAGTTTTTAAATCACATTTTCACAGAGAGAATCCAGCAAGTCTAAAAATACAGAAAACAGGAAAAAATAGAAATATTGTGTATTTAGCACAAATGAGGAGGAATTTTCCCCTTTCTGATAATCAATTGCACTCTTTTAGTATAGGATAATTAATAATCAATTTAATTGCTTTAATACAGGATAATTAATAGTCAATTGCACTGCTTTAATACAGAATAATTAATAATCAATTTAACTGCTTTGGATACAGGATAATTTATAATCCATTTAACTTCTATAATTAATAATCAATTGAACTGCTATTGATACAGGATAATTAGTAATCAATTTAACTGCTTTTGATATAGGATAATTAATAATCTATTGAAATGCTTTTGATACAGGATAATTAATGACCAACTGAACTGTTTTGATACAGGATAATTAATAATCAATTGAACTGCTTTTGATATAGGATAGTTAATAATCAATTTAATTGCTACTGATATAGGATAATACACATATTTATAGGATATATATTAGGCTATATCCTAATATATATACATATTAGGATATTTATAGGATATATACATTATGAGATATATATTTATAAGATAATATATATAATTAATTGAACTGCTTTTGATACAGGTAACTATTATATTTATAAGGTATATATTAGGATATACATATCCATATATATATATAGATATAAAAAATATATATGATAGATATAAAAAAATATAAATGTATAAAAGGATATTTATAGGATATCTATTTATAGGATAACACAATATTTAGAATCCATTTCTATTCGCAGGACAATACAACATTCCCAAGCCATTGATCCATTTCCCATAGCCGATCATTGATCCATTTCCCATACCAGCTCATTGATCCATTTCCCATAGCAGATCATTGATCCATTTCCCATAGCGGATCACCGATCCATTTCCCATAGCGGATCATTGATCCATTTCCCATAGCCGATCATTGATCCACTTCCAACACCCGATCATTGATCCCTTTCCAATAACAGCCCATTGATCCATTTCCCATAGCGGATCACCAATCCATTCCCGACACCCAATCATTGATCCCTTTCCCATACCAGCTCATTGATCCATTCCCCATAGCGGATCATTGATCCATTCCCCATAGCGGATCCCTGATCCATTCCCCATACCAGCTCATTGATCCATTCCCCATAGCGGATCATTGATCCATTCCCCATAGCGGATCATTGATCCATTCCCCATTGCGGATCATTGATCCATTCCCCATAGCGGATCCCCGATCCATTCCCCATTGCGGATCATTGATCCATTCCCCATAGCGGATCATTGATCCATTTCCCATAGCGGATCACCGATCCATTCCCCATAGCAGATCACCGATCCATTTCCAATACCCAATCATTGATCCATTTCCCATACGAGCATATTGATCCATTTCCCATAGCGGATCACCGATCCATTTCCCATAGCGGATCACTGATCCATTCCCCATAGCGGATCATTGATCAATTCCCCATAGCGGATCATTGATCCATTCCCCATAGCAGCTCATTGATCCATTTCCCATACCAGCTCATTGATCCATTCCCCATACCAGCTCATTGATCCATTCCCCATAGCGGATCCCCGACCCATTCCCCACAGTGGATCATTGATCCATTCCCCATACCAGCTCATTGATCCCTTTCCCATACCAGCTCATTGATCCATTTCCCATAGCAGCTCATTGATCCATTCCCCATACCAGCTCATTGATCCATTCCCCATAGCGGATCCCCGATCCATTCCCGACACCCAATCACTGATCCCTTTCCAATAACAGCCCATTGATCCATTCCCCATAGCGGATCCCCGATCAATTCCCCATAGCGGATCATTGATCCATTTCCCATAGCAGCTCATTGATCCATTCCCCATAGCGGATCCCCAATCCATTCCCCACAGCGGATCATTGATCCATTTATCATA